ACCCTGTATAGGGTTTCCAGGGAACGACTGGTAAACTTGAACCACAGACCTTCTGCTTCAAACCAACTTTGCAACCCAGTGCATTAACTCATAGAGCCACACCAGGACTTGGTTTGACGTAGACTTCCATAGTTTGGTTTTTTGAACAGTTCTTTCCTTTCTGGTACTACATGATCATCTTCTATCCCGGATCATCTTCTATTTTCTGTACCCCAACCTTGTTGTTAAGTTATTAAGGGTTGTTGAGTCCATTCTGACTCACAGGGACCCTGTTCAGGTGTCTGAGAAGCAGCTGGTGAGTTTGAACTGCTGACCGTGTGGTTAGCAGTCCAGTGCTGATGCTACAGTGTCACAGCAGGAGACCAACCCTACAACTAGCTATTTTCCCTTCGGAACCCCACTTGAATTTTGAAGTTGGAAATTAAATTAAACCCAAACTATTTTCAGGCCAGAGGGGGGGCACATCTGTGGGCCAGATTTAGACTTAAAGGATCTTGTTGAATCTTCACTGTCATAGTATGAAGATGTCCTGGTGGTGCAGTGATTAAGTGCTGTGCTGCTCATTGAAAGGTTGACTGTTTAAATCCATCAGCCACTCCATGGAGAAAGATATGACAGCTGCTTCAGTACAGATGACAGTCGTGGAAACCCTGTGGGGTGGGGTGTGAGAGCTCAGGTTTTGTGTCAAATTGGCTGAACCTGGATTCTCAGTGGTTTGGCAATTAAGAAGTAGTCAGGTAGTAAATCCCCTATGAGGAATTCTAAATGATACAATTACCTACCCCATGATGTGATCTTACGTGATAATTGTTCTGCCTGATGTAATTATCCTGTGTGTTGTTAATGTGGGAAAAAACACTGGATTGCAAGGTCCGTTGGAACCTCAAGGTCTGTGGTTCAAACTTACCAACAGCTCCCTGGCAACCCTACCCAGGGTCGCCAAGAGTCGGAACCGATTCAACAGCACTTCACAACAACAATAGCAAATTATGTTAATGGTGCCAGATGCAATCTAGAGGGTTAGATTATATCTTGAGCCAGTCTTTTCTGAAATATAAAAGAGATTAAGCAGGCAGGCTTATCGCTGAGAGACTTCTACCACCAAGAAGGAAGACCTGGGATGGTAGTGCATCATTTGGACCTGGGGGTCCTGACACTGTGAACGTCCTAGATCCAGAGGAAGATTGACGCCAAAACACGTGGAGATGGCTGAGGAATGCTGGACCTCCAGAAGATGAAAAGAGCCAACAAAAGAGAGAAAGCCTTCCTCTAGAGCCAGAACTCCAGCTTTGGACATGTAGCTTTCTAAATTGTGAGGGAATGAATTTCTGTTTGTAAAAGCCATCCCTTTGTGGTGTCTGTATTGTAGCAGCAGTAGCGAATTAAGCTGGGGAAGCTAACAAGACGGACGGTGCGTCCTTTCGAATCTAGTCTTCATCACTTACTGAGTTTTCTTCATTAGATATGAGTCGGAATCGACTTAGTGACAACAGGCTGTTTTTTCTTTAAGCATTAAAACATTGCTTTAATTTTGGTCTACCAAAGTTAAAAGTAATTCTACACTTAATATATTCAATCTATAATAGATCTGCATGTAGTAATGCACGTTAAAAAAAAAAGTTTGTATTGTGAATTGAGTGACAGTTTACATGGGAGAATATCGCTTTTACACTCATCGTTTCTTTGCAATGATTACAGTTTCCTCCGTACATCATCATTCAACAGTGTTTGCTTCTATTCCCTCTGTTTTTTTTTTTGGGGGGGGGAGGATGTACACAAAAAACACTCAGTAATATATAATCATTTAAACACCCAAAGGGGACATTCTGTAAGCCTGCCTCCTGACTGCCAACACACAGTCTTTCTCTTTCCATGCGTCTAGAGTCCTCAGCTGCTCTCTCTCTCCATGTCCTCATCTCTGCCTCCATCTTTGGTGTTGCTGCTTCTCCGGATAAGGTTGCACAATCTGCTCGTGCTCTTCTCCCTTGATGGTCCAACAACAGACTTTTTAAAGAACTGAGTCATTTGGTCTAGCCACCATCTAGGCGAGGGGCTCACACAAGGACATACTTACCTAGGAAGTGTGTTCACTAGGGGCAGAAATTGCTTCCCACATACCCTAGGCCTGACCCTGCACTTAACATTTTACCTTCATGGCGTTCCACGGAAACAAGGATGATCATAATTGTATCACTGTTTAGATATGCAAAGGAGGGCTCAGGGAGGTGCAGTCATTTGCCCGAGATCACACAGCTTTCTCAGAGTCATGGCTGAAAACACAGATTCTCAGGCATACCCAGACAAACTGACTCCTAGGCCACTGGGAACTAGCATTTGACTGGCTTCTCCCAGGGGATTCAGACACTCCTCAGAATCTGAGAGTAGTCTGTATGTGCTGTTTGCATCTGAGCATGCAAATGGGCACACACACGTTGAAGACTTAGGCTGGTCCTTTCAGGAAAACGGATTTACGTGTCTGTCTGATTCAGCGCTGAATGTGGCTTTGTCAAGTTCACAGTTGGTCTTTCTTTTTTTTTTTCTGTTTTTATTTTTTCTTTAATAATAAACACATAGAAACTATGACAAAATTATTTTTTCTCTTATGTAAATGATTCCTATTTGATATTGCCAAGACTTTGAAGTAGTTTTTAAACCATAAAAAGAGAATAATAATCTAATATCCTTTCTTGAAATGCAGATTCAGTATGCAGTTCATTGGAACTCTGTTCTGAAAACTACTTTCTAAACTGTAACAAGTAATAGATATTTGCTTTATTGCTGTAACAGGAATAGTGTCCCTTTGTTTTGTTTTTTTTTCCTTGCATCTAGCACCATGTCTCAAATTTGTTAGGTATTCAAGTAGTAAGACATAGGACTAATGAATAGAGAAGAAATTGTATTTATAACTCTTAAAACTGTCCGAAGATAACATTCAAATTACAAATAATATGACAGTTTAGCTTATGGGGTCTGGGAGTCAAAAATCTGGACTTGTTTCTTGGATTTATTATTTATAAACTGTAATTGTGGTTATTAGGTGCCATCGAGTCTATGCCGATTCATAGCAACCTTATGCACAGTAGAATGAAACACTGCCCGATTCTTAGCCAACCTCACTATTGTTGCCACCCTTAAGCCCATTGATGCTGCCACTTGGCCAATCCATCTCAGTGGGGGTCTTCATCTTTTTCTCTGACCCTCCACATTACTAAACATGATATCCCTCTCCAGTGACTGGTCCCTCCTGACAATATGTCTGAAGTATGAGAGACGAAGTTTGGCCATCCTGGTCTCCAAAGAGCACTCTAGCTGCATTTTTCCAACACAGATCTATGGTTCTTTTGGCAGCCCATGGGACTTTCAATATTCTCCACCAACACCATAACTCAAAAGCATCAATCCTACAGTCTTCCTTATTTATTGTCCAAATTTCACATGCATATGAGGTTATTGAAAATACCATGGCTTGGGTCAAGCACACCTTAGTCCTCAAGCTGACATTTTTGCTCTTCAACACTTTAAAAATATTGTGTGCAGCAGATTTGCCTAATTCAATATGTTGTTTGATTTCTTGATTGCTGTTTCTGTGAGTGTTGATGGTTGATCCAAGAAGAATGAAGTCCTTGACAACTTCAATCTTTTCTCTGTTGATAAGAATGTTGTATTGGTCCAGTGGCAAGGATTTTAGTTTTCTTTACACTGAGATGCAATCCATACCAAAGGTTGTGGTCTTTGATCTTCATCAGTAAATATTTTAAGTCCTCTCACTTTCAGCATGCAAGGTGAGTCTTCCTCCAATCGAAGGACAGACAAAGATGGACTAGGAAGAAGACGTGACGAACAACTTCTGAATATTTAGTCACTGAAAACCTTATGAATAGCAGAGAAACACTGTCAGATATAGTGCCAGAAAATAAGCCCCTCAGGTTGGAAAGCACTCAAAATGCGACTGGGGAAGAGTTGCCTCCTCAAAGTAGAGTTGACTGTGATGACTCGAATGGAGTAAAGCCCGCGGGACCTTCATTTGCTGATGGGGCACAACTCAAATGAAGAGAAACAGATGTTAGCATAGCAGTACACACAGGAGTTGGAATATGTGACGTTATTAGAGGCGCATATTGGGCTGGTCCGTATGGAGCATATGTGTCTCTGGTTTTTCTTATTTTGATAATAGTTGCACATACTCTCCATAGAAAAATTGTCACCAAAACCAAAGATATCTTTGTTGTTGTTGTTGTTAAGTGCTGTCGAGTCAATTCCAACGCATAACAACCCACAGTTGGTCTTTCCAAGCAAAAGCAGTTGAAAATTAGATAATGCATAGAAAATATTTAGGAAGCACATGAATGTCTGAGAATTGTGGTTCATTTCCATTTTTAATGAAGATGATCAACTCATTAATGTTATTAACCCCATTGTGAAGGAAACTCAGATTTATCTCAACTCTGGTTTAGGGAAGAAATTTTGATTCTTTCCATTTGCTCAAGCTCAGTGGTTTAGGACATGAAGGTATTTAGTTTGGACCTAGGGTTGCTGGGTGTTTGGGGAGAAACAGTGGTAGCACTGTGGGTTAGGGACCAGACTGCTAACCTCAAGGTTGATGGTTCAAACCCACCAGCCACTCTGTGGGAGAAAGATGAGGCTGTCTGTTCCTGTAAAGAATGTGAGAGGTGTGAAATTGATTCCGATCTGGGCCCTTGGATTGTTCCTGGGCAAGTCCTTGACCATCAGAGGTCTGCAAAGAACCTGGCTGGTCCCTTAAGTAGGTGAGAGACGCTGTATGGACCAGAGAGGCAGATGAGAGGTGCTATGCTGGACCAGAGGCAGATGGGAGGTGCAATGCTGGACCAGAGGCAGGTGGGAGGAGCTATGCTGGACCAGAGGCAGGTGGGAGGAGCTATGCTGGACCAGAAGCATGTGGGAGGAGCTGTGCTGGATCAGAGGCAGGTGGGAGGTACTGTGATGAATGGAGTGCCCGATGAGCTATTTGTTCTTTGCAGATCCGGAGTGACACTTCGCAGATCTTGGATGAAAACATTCCACTCCTTAAGACCAAAGTGATGCAGATAAGTAGCATCTACACCAAAGTGGATCAGCTAGAGGTACGCCCATCCGCCTACTGACCCAGGACTTGCTGTGGCCTTCACCCTCTCCTCCACAATGCCCATGCCTAGAGTGTGAGGTGTTAGGCTCCACAGAGTGGGGTGGTGGCGAAAGATCTACACGCACATGACCTTTTTTTTTTTTATAATGTGAATTTGTTTCTAACATTAAAAAAATTGGAAGACATATAAAAATCCAAATTTTAGGCGGCTTTTGAAAATTCAGAAGATCTGATAACCCAGGGGCCCCGCTATCTTTAAATACTTAATCATCAAGGTCCAAATACATAAAGGGCACACCTTAAGTGTAGATTGTTGTTGTCGTTGTTGAATGCTGTTGAGTCAGTTCTGACCCATAGCGACATTGTGTAGGGTTTTCAAGGAGCGGCTGGTAAGCTTGAACCACCCACCTTGCAGTTCAAACTGATTTTGCAGTCCAGCGCATTAGCCCACATCACCACCCCGGCACTCCTAAGTGTATATAGTCCAGTGGAATTTTACATCTATAACCATGTGGTTCAAATCCACTCACCACTCCAAGGGAGAAAAACCCTGACCGTCTGCTCCCATGAAGGTGCCAGCCTCGGAATCTCCGTGCGGCAGTTCTACCTGGTTACTCTGAGTTGGAATCAACTAGGTGGCACACAGTAACATAACTTTTGGGAAAGACCTAAATCAGGAAATGGGGCGTTTCCAGCTCCCGGTTGTCTTGCCACATCGCTAAAAGAAGGCGTAGAGCTGAGCAGCAGCTGCCCGTACAGTGCTGTGGTCTCCTGCTTACCACAGTCCCCACCCTGCCCTGCTGCCTCACTGCTGACTGGAATCCATCTCATCCCCTGCCCAGGCACAGGGCTGAGATCTAAGAGGACCCTAGGGAAGCACGGGCTGACTTGTGCCTACTTGCTAGTTGACAGTGGACACTTTCACATGATGTCCACCACAATTGATGAGTAAGCACATGTTTCCCTTGCTTCCTGGGTACTTCATCCCTGTTGTCAGTAATTGTACATTTGAAAAGAAGCTTCGATTCTGTAGGAGGGGAGATGTGGAGTCTTTGCTGTGATGGAAAAGTGTGAGGTTGTCCACTCCTGATTAGGAAGTAAGCACTAGTAACCCTGTGCTTACTGGGTTATCTGGCACTGTATAGGATATCTCATCTCCTCCTTGTCATACTGCCCGAGTGGTAGGTCCCTTCATGTCCCTGCCTCACAGTGCCAGACCACTTTTCTGGTCACCTAACTCACCTAGCGGTGGTGATTATGTGCCAACGAATTGGTTCTGACTCATAGCGACCCTGCATAGGATTTCCAAGGCTATAAATCTTAACAGGAACAGTAAGCCTCTTCTTTCTCCCGCAGAGCAACTGGTGGATTTGAACTGCTGACCTTGCAGTTAGCAGCCCAACTCATAAACACTATGCTACCAGGGCGCCTTCTGGATATATAGCTGATTATATTGAAGGCAAGCCTCCTACTCCCGACCACCAAAGCCCATGCCCTCATTCGACTGGGTCATCAGGGAGACTGGGAGAAGCTTGTGGTTTCATGACAGTCACCTGGACAGAGGACACGTGGGCAGGGAGAGAGGTGCTCTGAGCTAAGGGCGGAGGGGAATTTGTCAGTTGGCATTGGAGTTAGCAGAGAATTAGCATTCTTGTCAGCAGAGAATGAGGCCAGAATATAATTAAAACCCTGCCCTTGGAATAGCTGGTTCATTTGAATTTTATTCCACATGTTGGGAGGAGGAACAGAAATGGGAAGATTTGCGGCCTTGGTTTCTGCCTGGCTCCGTTGTCCTAGCTCTCAAGACCAGGGCCTCCCATATGCCATTGTGAGCGTCAGTGTGAGCAAAACAGTTACAGTCTGTGGCCAGATGCAGCCAGGAGAGACACCAACTGATCACTGACTTTTTCAAGAGCAAATTATTTTCTGCTGTTAATTTTTTGTTGAAACTATATGTTTTCAGTAATGGGAGACATTGTGAATGAAATGAAAAAAAAATTTTTGAGGTAATACCGGTTTTGATGTCCTTGTTGTTAAGTGCCATTGAGTTGGTTCCGACTCATAGTGATGCTGTATAGGGTTACTAGGAGTGGTTGGTGGGTTTGAACTGCTGACCTTTTAGTTAATGGCCCAGTGCTTATCTTGGCAGCTCCAGGAATGGGACACATATGTCCCAAGGAGTCTCTGGTGCTAGAGTTGGTGAGATGGTGAGATAAGTCCTATGTTTTCAGATTCACACCGTTCTCCAGGCTTCCACCAGATGCCAGCACAAGCTAACAGTGGGATAGCAGCTTCCCAGTAAACCCCAGAGATGGAAAATGTAGGTGGGCACTCTGTGTCCCACCGACCATGAAAAAATGATCAGGCGAGTTTCCTGCTGTAACGTATCACCACACATTTAAAACCTTGAAACAACGTGGATTTCTTCTCTCATCATTCTAGAAGTCAGAAGTCTAAAATGGCTTTCAGAGGACTCGAGGCAGAGTGTGGGTCTGACTGGTCCCTTCTGGAATCTCTGGGGGGAGAATCCAGTGATCTTCCCATTTCTGGAGACCCCCGGGGGACATTGGTGGCTGGCTCAGTGATTGAATACCCACTCCCATACAGTTTCTGGCCAGTGTACCTCATGCACCATCTGTCTGTCATGGAAACTTCTGGATTGCTGTGATGCTGAATAGGTTTCAGCGGAGCCTCCAGACTAAGTCTAGAAAGAGAGGCCTGACGTCTACTTCCAAAAGCAACCAATGGAAACAGTGGTCTGATCTGCAAAGGATCATGGGGATGGTGTAGACCCAGGCCTGTCATTGTCAGGATTTGGAAGCTGACTCAACAGCAGTTTTCAATAATAGCTGCTGTTGTGAAGTGCCATCGAGTCGATTGCAACCCATAGTGACCCTCTGTAGGGTTTCCGAGGAGCAGCTGGTGAGCTTGAACCATCGACCTTGCAGTTCAGTGCACTCATGCACAGCGCCACAGTCTCCTGTATCCCTTGGCTTGTGGCCCCTTCCTTCCCCTTCATAACCTGCACACAGCTTGCTCTCCTCTCTGCTTCCCCTGCCTCTGCCTACCTTTACATCTTCTCTTCCTGACTCTGGTCCTCCAGCCTCCCTTGTAGAAGGACCCTGTGATGACAGGGGCCCAGAGCATCCCTGGCCTGTCACCTTGTAAGGGGACATGTTCCCAGGGTTAGGAAATGGGATCTTTGGGGAGCCATTACTCTACATCCCATGATTGCCAAGACTGATTGAGAGGTAGGTGAGAGCTGTGAAGAGAAGGCCATGACTGAGGCGTGGATACTGCAGGACTCGGGAGGGTAAGCGGAAGGAGGGCAGGCCAGGGCATGCAGCTCAGGGAAAAGGAGCCAGGCTCTGGGTGGGCAGAGACCGGGACACTGGAAGAACTTGGGGACAACCAGATTGTGGGAGTTGGGACATGACCCGTGATGGGGTTGGATAATGGGGAAACCAGAGCCAGGTTGCTTAGGTCTAGCCATCCAAGATGTTGGCTTTTGTCTTGAAAGGAAGGGGGCCATGAGGGGACAGTATGCTTTGTGGTTACAGCGCAGGCTCCAGAGTAGACATCTCAGCCTTGGCTCTAGGGGTACTTTGGTCCAGATTATTCACTGTGGTGGGGGTTACCCTGTGTCATGTAGGGATGGTGGTCATCCTTGTCTACAAAGTTGAGGGAGTGGGGACCATCTGGTAGGGACAGGAGGGGTAGGGATGACCAAAGTGCCAGGGACCTCCAGGGAGCCCAAGACCACTTTCTGATCAGTATAACCATCCCCACCACCACCATCCAGTTGTTGTTGTTAGGTGCCATCGAGTCAGTACCGACCCATAGAGACCTTATGCACAGCAGAATGAAACACTGCCCGATCCTGGGCCAACCTCACTACTGTTGACATGCTTGAGTCCATCAATGCTGCCACCTGGCCAATCCATCTCACTGGGGGTCTTCCTCTTTTTTGCTGACCCTCCACCTTACCAAACATGATATTATTCTTCAGCGACTGGTCCCTCCTGACAATATGTCCAAAGTATGAGAGACGAAGTTTTGTCATCTTGGCCTCCAAGGAGCGCTCTGGCTTCACTTCTTCCAAAGCGGATCTATTGGTTCTTTTGGCAGCTCATGGCACTTTCAATATTCTCCTCCAACACCAGAACTCAAAGGCATCAATTCTTCTATGGTCTTCCTTATTCACTGTCCAGCTTTCTCATGCATATGAGGTTATTGAAAATACCATGGTTTGGGTCAGTCTCACCTTAGTCCTCAAGCTGACATCTTTGCTCTTCAACACTTTTAAAAGGTCCTGTGCAGCAGATTTGCCTAATACAATATGTCGTTTGATTTCTGAACTGCTGCTTCCAGAAGTGTTGATAGGTGATCCAAGAAGAATGAAGTCCTTGACAACTTCAACCTTTTCTCTGTTGATAAGAATGTTGTTTATTGGTCCACCACCCAGTAGAAGCATGGAAACCATAGGGTGCCCTCTTAGACCCGATTGGCCCTTCATCAGTGTTAATAAAACTAGCACTCAGTGTCAGGGATTGAAGTGTAAGGACTTGTGCCACCCTCACAGTAACCAATAGGAAAGGTCCTGTTGGTTTTACAGAAAAAGCAACTGAGGCCCAGAGATGTGCAGGGATTTGCCCAGGGTCCCACAGGTAGGGAATAGTGGTGCTGGAATGAATGACAAGGGCAGTGACCTTGACCACTCTGTGCAGGCCCTGCTCCCACCCCAACCGGGACCTTTGGAGAAGGTGCTCACACACTCACCTCTGCTCTTACAGAGATTTAGAAACATTGGGCTTTCTCAGCAATCTCTCCCTCTCTTCCTTCTCTTCTTTCCTTCCTCTTCCCTCCCTCCTCCCTGAAAAAGTAGTACATTTTCATTGAAAAGATAAAATATAACAATCACCCTTGATCCCAGTCTACAGCCCTGGGGTTGCTAAACTCTGCTTTGCTCCTCCTCTGTTCCCTGCCCCTGTCTGGGAGAGGTGTGTGTCCCTTTAATGCCCAGGTCCCAGCCTCTCCCCTGGCTGTGGCTGTGGCGGCCAGGCCACCCTTGCTGGCATTCTGGAGGCCTTTCAGACCTCAAGAGGCACGCATTCCTCGCTGTTGCCTCACTCCCCACCAGCTTGGCCTTAACGCAGGAGCGCAGGAGCATAAAATTGGAATCGGCTGGAGGGAGGGAGGATAGGACTCCGCTATGTTTTATGACCAGATGTGCTGGCCTGGCAGCCTCCAAACCCTTGTGTGGAAGCTTCCCGCCTTGGCCCTGGGTGTCCCCTCCCCCATCTGGAAGTAGTCAGTCTTTCAGCTTTGCCTCTGCTAAACCCCAGAGCAGCAGAGGATTACAGGTGCCGCCATATTGGATTTGCCTTGTCCATTGTCTTTTTGATTAAGGACACTTGTTTACATTCATTCATTCAAACACTCATTCATCCAGCTCATACTGAGGGACCAGGCTTTGGTCTCTGTCTTGGGATCCAGCAGCAAACCACCATGCCTCAGAGGTTACCCTGTAGAGGGAGGTGGACTGGGAAGACCGTTTTTTAACACAGATAACGCGTATCTTCTGCATTTGTCAACTAAATCCACCTACCCCGCGTTTGGTCTTTTGGTGAGTGCCACTGCTCCACAGACTTTTTTTCACATGTTGTACCTTGCCAGGTCAAAGACTTCATTTTGCTTGGCTCAACTATGGAAGCAGCAGCCAGGAAATAACCGCTTTAAAGTGTTTAAGAGCAAAGATGTCAGTTTGAGGACTAAGGTATGCCTGACCCAAGCCATAGTATTTTTAACAGCCTCATAGGCATGCGAAAGCTGGGTAGTGAATAAGGAAGACCCTAGAAGAATTGATGCATTTGAGTTATGGTGTTGGAGGAGAATATTGAAAGTACCATGGACTGCCAGAAGAACAAACCGATCTGTGTTGGAAGAAGTGCAGCCAGGGTGCTCCTTAGAAGCCAGGATGGTGAAACTTTGTCTCTCATACTTTGGACATATATCAGGAGGGACCTGTTCCTGGAGAAGGAGATCATGCTTGGTAAAGTGGCGGGTCAGCAAAAAAAAAAGGAAGACACCCAAGAAGATGAATTGGTACAGTGGTAGCAGAAGTAGGCTCAAACATAGCAGCAATTGTGAGGTTGGCGCAGAACCTGGCAGTGTTTCGTTCTGTTGTGCATAGGGTTGCTATGAGTTGATGGTACCTAACAGCAACAACTTTGTCACGGGGTAGGGCATGGTTGACAAGCAAATATAGAAGAATATATTTGCATAAAAATACCTTAGTAGACAAGTAAGCAATTCCTAGAGTGGTGAGAGCTATGTGGGTGAGGAAACTAGGTGACAAGGGACAGCAACTTGGTGGCTGTGTCTGATTGAGTGGTCAGAAGAGCCGCTCTTAGGAGAGGGCCTCAGAGACAAGCAGAGCCCAGGAGCAGAGCAGAGCTAAGACGCTACTGGCATGGAGGGAGCTGGTGCAAAGGCCCTGTGGCAAGGGTGACCTGGCACATGAGAGAAACAAAAGGGAAGTTGGTGTGGCTGGGATGTGGGCTGAGAGGGAGCGGATAGGACCAGATGGAAGGAGACCTACCAGGATGTGGGAGGATTGTGGGTTTTTCCACAGTGAAGAGGGGACTCCCTTAGTAGTACCCAGCACTGCGATGTCCTTCCTTCTGTCCCAGTGTAAGAAAACTTCTTCCATTTTATCTGGGACAAGGAAGGCCCGGCCCATGGAGGTGGTGATTTGTCCAGGATGGTACCAAAATCTCTAGTTAGAGTGGCCTTGTCCGAGTACCTACTCTCTCTCTCACAAACACACATGTACACACATGCACACGTGTTGAACATAATAAAAGGCATAAACAGACATATATCAGATGGCATAGATGAGTGGTTGAAGCCCACAGCTGACTTTCGCAGGGCCTACATAGTATTTGGAGTCCTGGTGTGGTGCTGCAGGATAAGGCACTGGACCACAAGGTCAATTTGAACTGTAAGATTGGCAGTTCAAACCTACCAGCCGCTCCTCAGAAACCCTATACAGGGTTGCTATGAGTCAGAACCGACTCAATGGCACTTAATAGCATATATTTAAAAAAAAAAAAAAAAGGGATGTATTGCTAGCATTGATTTAAAAAAATAATTTTAACATAAAATTTGAATGTCCTTCTCTTAAATACTATTAGCTACCACCATTGAGTCTTTAATAATGTGTTAAGCACTTAGCTTGCTTGGCAAGGTTGGCATTGTTTTATCCCCATTTTGCAGATAAGAAAACTGAGGCCAGTAGAAGAAATTAAGTAACTTGCTGAAAGGCACACACATTACTAAGTAACATACTAAGTAGAGAATGTGGGCCTGGAGTGGACACTCTTAGTCACCCAGTTCCCACTCGGCCCTCTTCCCTTATTTGGTTCCTGCTGGCCCCTGCTGGCATTTGAGTTCGAGACCCCCTGATTTACATCAAGAAGTAGCATTGATGGTAGAGCTGTTAAGTGCTCTAGCTGCTAACCTAAAGACCCATAATTCAAACTCACAAACTCCAGGAGAAAGATACAACACTGTGCTTCCATAAACATTACAACCTTGGAGACCTCATGGGGAAGTTCTCCTCTGCTGTGAGTTGGGGTCAACTTGATAGCAGTTTTTGTTTTGGTTTTTGTTTTGATATGCATCAAGCAGTAAAATGAGTATTTAAAAAAAAAAAAACAATTTCCATAAGAAAGGCTTTGAAATTTATACCTGAGTCCTTTCTCTGCTGCTTTGTAGCTGTGTGGCTTTGAGCAGATCACTCAACCTCTCTGAGCCTTGGTTTTCCTTCTCTATAAAATGGAGGTTAACTATAGGGTACTACAGAAAGAAGGTGGGAGGACACAGGGGTGATTTGGCCTGGCCCCCACTGGGAGCTGCTCCTGCAGGGGTTTCTGAAGGGCCCCTCCAGCCAGGCAGTGTCAGTGGATCCACTGCAAGGGAACCGGCTGGTAGTGATTAAGGCCTGACATCTTGGGCTCCTCCAGCTGGGGAGCAAGGCCAGGAACGCGCTCCAATCCGAGGCTGATGTGGCATCGTGCTTTCTTCTCTCCTCTACCAGGCCTTCGTCAAGATGGTCGGACACCACGTCTCCTTCCTGGAAGCCCATGTGCTTCAGGCTGAGCGGGACCACGGGACCTTCCCGCAGGCGCTGCGTAGGTGGCTGGGCTCCACCAGGCTGCCTGCTTTCAGGAACGTGAGTACCCAGCCCTTCCCCACTTCCCACCCCCTCCCCCGGCCCCACAGGGGCTCCGGAAGCAGAGTTCAAAGGGCATGTTTCATTTCTGCAGACAGGAAGTAGTGTCTGCCTGACCGCCAGCCCATGGGAACTGACCAGGTGGCTGGGACGTCTCTGTCTTCTCCACCTCCTGTGCCCCTTCTTCCTCAGACTTCGAGCTGTGCCTGCTCACACACTCATCCAACATCTATTGAGCACCTGCTGTGTTCGGAGCACAGCTCTGTGTTTATCATGATGAACAGGGCAGGCCCAGCCTCTGTCCCCTGCCCCATCCCAGCCTTAGTCTTGTTCTCAGGGCAGGGCCAGAGTTCTAGTCTACCCCTCCTTCCTGAGACCCGTGTCAGAGGGGCTGGGGAAGCTGGTCTGTGTCCAGACTGCCTGTGGCTCTTGTAGTTTACAGTGGTCTTTTCCTATCCGTACCCCTCTATTTTCCTGGGGCCCTCTCCACCCCCCTATGAAGAAGGAAGGATCACTGTGTCCGTTTACTGTTGAGTAAACTGAGTCAACTGTGTAAAACACAGCCTGCCTTTCTTCCTCTTTCTGTCTTCTCATTGGTTGAGCCACCTGGTCCAGTGGCTCTCCACCAAGGGCAGGAGAGAGGTGGGGGAGGGGTTTGTCTGCCTTGGACATTTGACAAGGTTGAGATATTTTTGGTCTTCACAACTGGAAGGCAGGGGTTGCTGTTGGCATCCAGTGGGTAGGGAGGGGGCCAAGCATACTTGCTCAACACACTGCAAAGCACAGAGTACCCCCCACCACCACCACCATAGAGAATGATCTGGTCATAAATATCAGTGTGGTGCTGTGGGACAATGCACTGCACTGAAAGGTCTGCGGTTCAAGTTCACCAGTCGCTCCTCGGAAACTATATATAGGGTCTCTATGAGTTGTAATGGACTCAATGCACTTAACAACAACAAATACCAGTAGTGTTGGGTTCCTAAAACTGCCCCCAGCTGTATTTGATGATGATATTAACAATAATAATAATAATGATCTAAGGGAGTCCTGGTGTGGCGCTGTGGGTTAATGCACCAGACTGCACAGCCGTTTGAACTGCAAGGTCGGTGGTTCAAGCTCACCAGCTGATCCTTGGAAACCCTATACAGGGTTGCTGTGGGTCGGCATCGACTCAACAACACTTCACAACAACAACAACAAAGGCTTTTAGAGGAGTTCTGGTGTGGCACTGTGGGTTAATGCGCCATCTATCAAAACCGTTTGAACTGCAAGGTTGGCGGTTCAAGCCCACCGGCTGCTCCTCAGAAACCCTATACAGGGTCGCTATGGGTTGGAACCGACTTGATGGCACTTAACAATAACAAGGGTTTTAGATGCTGTATGGCATCTCGTTCCCCCAGCAGTCTCTTGAGGCAGGTACTTTTATCATTACATCTATTTGAGAGATGAGGAGACTGAGGCTCAGGGACATGAAGGGACTTAACCCGGTTGGCCTGTCTCCAGGACCTTGTCCTTAACAAGAAAGGTGTCTGCCCAGCTGGCTGCCCTGCCCTGCCCTCTAGTAAGGCCCCTCACCGTTTCTGGGGCTCTGCCTTATGTCCCCCACTGTTCCCACTGTCCCCCTTGCCTGGGTACCTCTCTGCTGCCCCCTGGCCCACATCTTTCTGTTATCACAGCGGCTCCTTTATTGAGTGTTTGCGATGTTCAGACTGCGTGTTGGGTGTTTTGGCTGCTTTGACTTGTTTTCTTTCCCACAGTCCTGTGCGCTGGGTATTAACATTGCCCCCACTTTACAGATGATGGGGAGGGGCTGGAGAAGCTTCTGGTGTCACAGCTTGAAACCTGTGGGCAGACTTCAGCCCCATAAACACATTCCGATTGGCCGGGTAATGAGAATAATTCTGGGAGCACTCACTCTCCAGTGCTGGCCTCAGACCTGTCCACCCCAGATGTGTGACCTACCCAAGGCCAGTAACAAACAGCTGGGCAGTAGCCACACAGATCTCACAGTCTAGGAACTCCTACTGACCCTTCAGAGCCATGTTAACTAACACCTCCTCCTGCGGGAAGTCTTCTGGGATTGCCTCCTCCCAGATGTGTTGTCTCTGCCTTCCAGCAACAGTGAAGCCATGTGTGAGCTGCTTCCTTTGACCTTGTTTCTCTCCAGTTCCCGTGACCATTCCTGGGTGACCAGGAGACCCCGAGTTGCACAGTACGGAGTGCATCGAGGTGGAAGCCAGAGGCCTGACCTCCCATGGCCTGAAGCTTGTTTGCTCTGCAGTCTGTACAGTGACCCTGTTTACTGAGGCAGGGATCAAGCTGGGAGTCACAGATCTGAATTCTGTGCTGGGTTTGGAACCCAGGCCACCCCACCCCCACTTCTGCCACAGGACCCCGCAGGGTGCAGCTGGGGCATGCTGGGGCCTGCACCCTCTCATCTCTGCCAGACTTTGGGTTGGGGCCCAGCTGGGCTGTGGAGAGGCCTGCTCAGGCCTACCTGTGGAGACATGTTCCAGGAAACAGTCCCAGCCAGCGGTGCTGACTCATTCAGTGTTGTTCTTGGCCCCCCATGAAGCTTTGCCTGTGGGAGGCAGTCCCCTGGTGTGGGACCACCAGGCCCTAGGGTATGAGCTACAGCTCCCCCAGAATGATCCTCTAGCCTCATGTTGCAGGCGCCTCCCCCAAGTGAAGCGTCATCCCCTCACAACCCTCTTCTGTGAAGGAGGTCTGGTCCTGACCTCTGTTTTACAGATGGGTTGAGTTGCCGATCCAGTATCCCCTGTGAGTGGTGGATCTCAGACTCGAACTCATGATGCACAGAGTCAGCGTTTGTCCTGATTTAACCCTGCTGGGCTGTTTCCCTTTCTGACCACCAGGACTCCTGTGGGGAGAGGTGGGGTCCTCAGGAAGCATGGTGGGTGTCAGTTTCTTCCATCTGGATCCCTCCCAAGTTGGGACTTTGTGCCCCTCTTGAGTCCCCTCAGTGCTGCCCGGAGTGGACATGTCCTCTCGGTGGTGACCACCTCCTCCCCCTCCTCAGAGTTGTGCTCTTTTTAAGGCAGAATTCAGGCAACGAGGGTTCAGGACTTTGATTTCCCTCACCCACCATCCCAACCCCACCTCTGGTCAAAGGCGTGGTCCAGGTGTCCCCTGACCCAGGCTGACCCGAGGCCACAGGAACCCAGACCCAAGACTGGCAGACCCCCCTGCTTCTGCCATGCTCAGTCCTTCTCCCCACTGCCTCTGCTCCCCATCCCCTCCTTCCAGAGTTCTGGGAGTGGAGAGGAGTCCTGGGTAAGCGTTAGACTGCTACTCCCAAGATCGGTGGTTCAAACCAGCCGATCCACCATTCTCTCAGAAACTCCATACAGGGTTGTTTTGAGTCAGAACCGACTCAAAGGCACTTGTTGTTGTTAAGTGCCGTGGAGTCGGTTCCGACTCATAGCAACCCTGTACAGGGTTTCCGAGGCTGTAAATCTTTGCGGGAGCAGAAAGCCTCTTCTTTCTCCCATGGAACAGCTGGTAGTTTCGAACTGCTGACCTTGTGGTTCGCAGCCCAATTCGTAACCACTACGCTACCAGAGCTCCTCACTTAGCAAACAAAAAACAGAAAGAAGTGGAGAGGACTAGGATTGGGGCAGGGCACTTGGGGTGACCACCACACTCCCATGAAGTCAGCTGTCACTACTGCCCCCTCATTTGTAGTGACTTCTTCACCCTCGGAGTATGAACGGGTCTCTTGGGGTGCATTTTCTCAGGTTAGTCCATCACCTGGAACTTTTTCCCTGGAGGGAGAAAGTTGGTCTTTGTTTTTCTAACTTCTGCCAGCCCTTCCTTCTCCAGTGCACCTCTTCTCCCTTCCTCCTCTTCCTAACTTTGTGACTGGGTGCAGGTCAGGGAGAAGTCCCACCTTCCTGGCTCCCCCAGTAGCAGCCACCAGGCCTGACCCTGCCCAGGTAACCGGGGCCATGTCAGGAGTGTGGCTCTGGCCTGGGGACCTCCTAAACCATCTCATAATGACCCCATCTCTGGACCCCTGGCTTTGACCTCTGACACGAGCTACCTGAGAAGCTGGTGGTGGGTCCCGAGCCTGGTACCCCGAGAACTCATGTGGAGTTGAACAGTTCTGTAGTGATTTTTAACATAGATTGAGCCCCACCGTGTGCCAGATGCTGCCCTTGGCTCATCAGTCCTCACAGTCCTCCACGAAGGAGGTACTGCTTTTAGCCCCATTTTACAGACATGGAAGCTGAGGCACAGAGAGGTTAAATCACACCCCCAAGTTCCCACAGCTGGCCATCGGGATATGAAGCTGCACTCTTAACCGGAGTCCCGAATCCCATATGGCCTGGGAGAGAGCTAGGATAGATAGCTCCCTTGTGGAGGATCTGGTAGGAGAAGAATGCAGTAAACAGTCACTTGTAAAGGGCCATGTGAGCTGGGACCACCCTTGGCATTGGAGGGCTGGCTCTAAGTCCAGAGGGGTTCGATCAGGTGAGCCTGGAAGGCAGGGGAGGGGGAGGATCAGGTCAGAGGAGTAGCATGGGCCAACCAGGGCATGCAGGACTTCAAAACACATGGAGGGAGTTGAATTCTAAGGCAATGGGGATCCATTGGAGGCTGTGTAGCGGAGGCAGTAACCTGGTCAAATTGGCTTCCTTTGTTGAACTGTAGGGCTGGTTCTCCAGTCTGAGCAAGGCTGGTGGTCAGGGTCCCCGGCGTCATGCTGAGACTGGAACAGGACAGCTAAGCAGAGCATGCAGGTGCCCACCAAGCCACAGGATTCCCAGGCATCTCAGTGTGCTCTCTGGGTCCCCTGGAAACCCTCTCATGAGGGGAGAGAAAAGAGGCCCCAGGTGGAGGTTTTAGGTCTCTGGACAGGGTCCCAGAGGCCCTGCTGAGGAGGAGGAGAGGGAGGATAGCCTGTACAAAGAACCTTCTCATCTGGAAGCCATCCTGGGCCGGTGTGGAGGTGCAAGTGTGGTTCAGAGCTGGAC